AGTATTTCCTAATAGGTGAACTAGGGGACAGTGGTGGTTCAGTGGTAGAATTCTCGCCTTCCATGCTGGGGACCTGGGTTCAATTCTCGGCCAATGCACCTCATGTGCGGCCACCACCCATTCTTCAGTGGAGGCTTGCACGTTGATATGATGCTGATCAGGTTTCACCAGAGCTTCCAGACTAAGACAGACTAGGAAGAAACACCCAGTGGTCTATTTCGGAAAATCAGCAAATGAAAACCCTATGGATCACAACAGTCTGATCTGCAACTGATCATGGGGATGGCGCAGGATTGGGCGGCATTTAGTTCTGTTGGGCATAAGGTCACCATGAGTCAGAGGCCTACTTGAAGTCAGCTAATAACAATAGGTGAACCAGCAACAATCCCGAATAACTTTAGGTTCAAAGCCAGTGTCTAGAGAGAGACCTGTCCCTTGCCAGTCTTTACTATTCTGGGCTTCCCATCTCTGCGAAATGGCACGGGGCAACACCTCCCTCTCTGGATATTGGAAGTCTTCTGTTAAAATACACCCAACTTATTGTTGTTGTTGTTTTCAGGTGCTGGTGAGTTGGTTTCGACTCATAGCAACCCTATGCACAACAGAACGAAACACTACCCAGTCCTGCGCCATCCTATTATTGCTATGTTTGAGCCCATTGTTTGAGCCCACTGTTGCAGCCACTGTGTCAATCCACCTCATTGTGGGTCTTCCTTTTTTGCTGACCTTCTACCTTATCAAGCATGATGTCCTTCTCCAGGGACTGGTCCCTCCTGATAACATGTCCAAAGTACATGAGACAAAGTCTTGCCATCCTTGCTTCTAAGGAGCATTCTGGCTGTGCTTCTTCTGAGACAGACTTGTTCATACTGCTAACAGTCCATGGTATATTCAATATTTTTCGCCAACATCACAATTCAAAGGCGTCAATTCTTCGGTCTTACCATATTCACAGTCCAGCTTTCGCATGCATATGATGCGATTGAAAACACCATGGCTTGAGTCGGGCGCACCTTAGTTCTCACGGTGACATCTTTGCTTCTGAACACTTTAAAGAGCGGTCTTTTGCAGCAGATTTGCCCAATGCAGTATGTCGTTTGATTTCTTGGCTGCTGCTTCCATGGGAGTTGATTGTGGATCCAAGTAAAATGAAATCCTTGACAACTTCAGTCTTTTCTGTTTATCATGATGTTGCTTATCGGTCCAGTTGTGAGGATTTTTGTTTTCTTTATGTTGACATGCAAGCCACACTGAAAGCTATAGTCTTTTATCTTCATCAGTAAGTGCTTCAAGTCCTCTTCGCTTTCAGCAAGGTTGTGTCATCTGCATATCGCAGGTTGTTAGTGAGTCTTCCTCCAATCCTGATGCCACGTTCTTCGTATAGTCCAGCTTCTCGGATAATTCGTTCAGCATACAGATTGAATAAATATGTTTAGCTTGCTTCTTACCAGGAGAGCCCCAATTCGTTTATTCTGGTCCATTCCTGTGCAGAACTGCAGAGAAAGGGACCTATTCCCTAACGCTTCATCATGAAGAAGCTCACTGAGATGATCACCACATGGTTGTTTGCTGCACAGGAACGTTGTCTGCATTAATGAGCTGGGCAGGGCGTCTCTGGGGCCCCCAGACACAGGAGATAAGCACACCTGTCCAGTCACATTTATCATCTGACTTCCAAGGGAAATCACATCCAAGAATATTCAAATAGCTTTCCCAAAGCACTGGGCTGTTTCTTGGCCATGTTCTATTTCTCATTTTTTAAAAATAATGAGTAAAGCATAAATCAGCAGAATGACTGCATCAGGTAATTGAGATTTTAAATGGTTCTGGCCAAGGAGAACTGAACTGCCAGTATAGATTTGAGGTTCTGACAGAAGGGTAAAGGCACCTGTCTCCCCTTCCTCACCACCCAAACACAATGAAACAATGGAAGTAAAAACTGTAGGTCAGGGATTCTTATCCTGAGGTCTATGTACAGAATTCTGCGCGTCCATAAACTTGGATGGGAAAAATCTGTCTTTATTTTCACTAATCTCTACTGAAATTTAGCATTTAAGCCTGAACGTAGCCTGCAAAGCATGTGAGTACTAACAGTACCTACAACTTTGTCATCAAGAGAAATCAGATATGTTCTATCACACTTAAGTTGCTGCAGATCTTTTAATTATTTATGCTCATTACTACTTCAAAATTATGGTATTCAACCCACCACTAGATCCAGCTATGCAACAAGTTAATAAAGAAGCATAAATATTAAATCATAGATTTTTGGAAAACAATATAACATTTCCTTTTTAATCACATCTATTTTATGTATTAAAAAGCGTGTTTCTGAGAAGGGGCTCACGGCTTCACGTCACCAGGCTATTGCAGGGGTTCAAGGTACAAAAAAGGGTAAGAATACCTGATGTAGGTGCTCATATTAGAAATTTAGAATGCTTAAACCTAGAGTCAAATTGTTACTAGCCACAGGACCTTCAGGCACAGTTCCAACTTTGACTGCTGGCCTACCCAGTAATATTAACATCTAATTCACAAAAGCTTCTTAAGACTGAGCAAGATAATGTAAATGAATGTGGTTTATTAATCAAAAGCACAGCAATGTAAAACATTATTTGGTACAAAGATACTCTGTGACAGGGTGATAAAGGGAGGTTGAGACCACACAGACACTCGTATCTAATAACTAAGTATCAAATAATGCCCGCCCAACTGGCCTGCAGATGAGTGCTACTCCAACTGCTGTTCCACGACATGAAAAGGAGCTTGCGCCAGAACGTAAATCAATGTACTGCTTCCTTCATTGAGAAAGTATTGCTATGAAAAAAAGTTCAGCTTAGCAAACAAACCATTGGTTGATGGACCACACTTTCAGTAGACTGCTCTAGAATCCTGAATATAGAGCAATGATATATGACAACATACACACACACACACCTCACCACAATTTTGCCCTCTACCCCAGAAGTCACCGAAACAATAAAATTTACCAATTTATTGGAAATCCCAAAAGCAGATCAACAACTACGGTAACAGGAAACAGTTGCTAGAGGCACCAGGAGGAGACAGAAGAAAACAATCCAACTCTTATGCAGTTAGAGTTGCCACAGCGAAGAAGTGACCATTCAATTGCACAGGAAGTAATCACACATCTTTATTTTAACATCAACACTGCTGTAGCCCAATAAAAACACTGTCAACCCAGCCTCCCTCCAGCCAAGTCAGATCACCATTAATCAAGTTTTTAAAATATTCACATTTCCAGGAGGAAGCAGTATTTCGTTTTTTTAATAAACCAATTCTTGATTATCTGCTGATGTGTTGAATAGAATTTAAACTACAGTCATATCTGCCCTTAATTTAAAAGCAGCTATAGGTTACTACAGAATATTCCATTTTGAATTATAGAGGATAGTAGGAATCTTAAAGTGAACACTAGAGCCAGTAAGATAACAGTGCTTAGATCATGCTGCATGTCTTTAAAATGCAGCAAAAGTAGAGATTGCTTTTAGTTATCAGAGTTCAGTTTGCACACCTTTCTTTTAAAACAGTTACAAGGATGTTCCAATCAGACATCACCCTTTCTCCAATATTAAGAAATGAGTGGGCTCTGAAGTCACTATTATCACCCAAAATAAAAATATCCATTTATTCCCACTGTCTCCTTCCCCTGCACCACATCTCTTTTTCTCTCCTGAGTGCATCTTCGATGGTCCGGCACAAACTGATCTGCCTCATTTCTAACTCTCAGCTCTTAGCAGGACCTGTATGTCACCAGACTCAGTGGCTCTGTTGCCTCAGGATCAAGCTAGTCTCCAAATATAAAATTATGTCCACATATTGATAACACCATATCCGGACAGTAGACGTACTTAGCTTCTTTTCTAAAATGGGGAAAAAAAGTACCCCCATTCTATTAACCCAAAGTAGTGTTCTAATAGTAATGGCAGCATTATTTGAAATCTTACACACCACACAGAGCTCTGGCAAAGCATTAGGGGGCGGGGAGGGTTCACAATGTCTGCCAATGCCATTTTTAACGTATATACGCCAAGAAAAACATTTGTTACAAGCATACCAACGATTGTGAGGATGGTGCAGGACCAGACTGTGTTTCGTTCTGTTGTACATAGGGTCCCTATGAGTCAGAACCAACTCAACAGCACCTAACAACACTTTAAACATACTGACTCTAATTCTTTTTGTTCTTAGTTATTAATTGTTCCTTCTTCCCTGCCAATACAAAAAAAAAAAAAAAAAAAGTAGGCAAACACTCTTTTAAAAGAATACGTGTTACATACCTTGACCCGACCTTGGGAGAAAGAATGTTCTGCGTTGATACCAATTCTATCTCAAAATGGACACTGAGTATTTCATTTTTAATGCTTTTCCTACAGCAAATTCATCATAAATGAATTCATTCCATTGACATTATGAAAACAACAGAATAACCCAGTGATATCCCTCTAACAATCCAAGTCAATATAACCTCATCTTTGATGTAATTACCCACAAAGACAAGACCAAGCTGTTAGTTCCATGCATTTCCTTAAGAGAGTTTTCAAGTCACTCTTATTGCCCAGGGCCTCTCTACAAAGTATTACCACATACCTGCACATCCAAGAATTTTCTCAAAAAGCTTCATAGCAGCTATCCAAAATGAATTTTTACTTCCATATCTAATAAACCAGTAAGAGTGGGAGTAGATATAAGCTTCTGACTTTCAACTTTAGAGGAAGGCACATTCTTTCACTATCCTCAGGTCAATTTTATAATGAAGAACTGGTGAATGTAATCGGCTGTGTATCATTTACCACGGTGGTAAACAAAGTCATAACTAGTGTTTAAAAAAGGCCCCAAGACCATCCTACTATGGAGAGAGAAATGATACCGAGTGATATAACAAAACTAAAAAAAGACCAGGAGATACCTTTGTTCTATGAGAGCAGAAGCAAGAAACAGAGGACCAGGCTGAAATAAAACAACGAACACGTGAAATTTCTCTTTTGTAACTTTAATGGGAGCAATGCTATTCATTTTTTTAACTCTTTTATAAGCACCAAATCTTAATATCTAAGTCAATTTTTTGAAAAGAAACACAGTCAAGAACTTTTATTAGGAACAACAATGATGCTCATTCCTCCAAACAACCAAATTGAAGGTCTACCAAAAGCAAAACAAAAATGGAAAAAGCCCACACAGAAATAAAAAGTTTAACAAAAATCACATTCTAGGGGTTCAGTGCATGTAGCAGCCTTGACTGTGCTGCCAGATCATCCTTACGCTGACTTTCAAAAAAATAACACCCTAGCGCATCAAAATATACATTTTCCATTTGCTTTTTTAAATTAAAAATAATAATAATTAAAAAAAAAACCTTAAGGAATTCACAATCAATTGCCTGACTTGTTCCGATGTCATCTAAGCGTGTAAAGGTCAAGATGGCTATTTGCAGCACACATGATGGGTGACACTCATCTTCAAGGCTTAGTCTTCTTCCACACGGTGTAAAATACCCACCTGGAGAGGGAGTCAAGGAATAACAGCAGGTAATTCGAGGAAGAACTGGCAGAACTTAAAATTTGTTTTCTCGCCTACAAATTGGAAGACGGATGGAAATCTTCCTAACTTAGAGCATTGGGGTCATGAGAAATGGAGGCCTTTGGAAGAGCGCCACTTTTGCAGCCTGGGATGCCCATCACCTGTGATGTCTGAATGGGGGCTGGATGGACAAGAGGCTGAAGGAGCGAAAATATTCTATCAGGTAACACCACTGCTTCCACAGTCTCTAAAGACTTTCAGGGGATTAATACGAGATGGAAGGGAGTGAGGGGAGGAGAGACAGAGATGGGAGAGAGGAAAGAGGGATAGAGCTGGGAGGAAGATGGGATGGAGAAGGGAGGATAGGAAGAAGGAAGGGGGAAGGGAGAAGAAGAGAGGGAGGGAGAAAGAAGGCGAGGGGAAAGGGAGGAAGGAGGGAGAGAGTAACCAGAGGAAGGAAGTCTTTTCTCCAAATGTTACCAACTGGTTCCTAAAAATCTCTAAACATACAAACACAGACCTGACTGGAAAAAGTGCCCTGAGAGGAAGCTTGAGGGAGGTGGATGGTTGATAGTGGGCACAGAAGACCAGGCAAGCCCATCAAGCAGAAAGTAGCCCCCTCAACACACTGAGGACCTAAGAGGCTTCTTCAGAACAGGTGTCTCCAGCCCAGGCTCTGTCACAGCCTGCCCCAGACTCGCGGGAACAGCTTCAGTGCAGCCCCCCCAGTCACACAATCTCCCTGGACAGTAATGGCAACTGCTTGCCCACCGCTCCAAGGGAGCAGATAAGGAGGCTCTTGTCTGCATAACACAGTCTGCATTTTATAAGAAGTAAACACATTATCAACCTTTCAGTGAAAACATTCACATTTCAGTTTCTCTCCAGGTTCCTTTCTTATTTCTCTGGACTAGCTTTTACTAAGGGGAACTAATGCACAACACAAAAGTGAACCTTGCAGAGTCCCAGTGTAATTTTTAGCTGTTGATTTCTACTGGAAATTAGGATCAAGTGTAGAAATTAATATTAAAGTAGGACAATTTTAATATTAAAGGAAGGTGAGTGTCTTCATACATTTAGCCTGCTACGTGTTAGGTGGTGTTTAGACCAGAAAAACCCAAACCAAACCAGCTGCCATCGAGTCGATTCCAATTCATGATGACCCCATGTGCCTGGGTGGCTCAAATGGTTAAGCACTCAGCTACTAACCAAAAGGTTAGTGGTTCAAATCCACCCAGAGGCACCTTGGAAGAAAGGCCTAGCAATCTGCTTCTGAAAGGTCACAGCCATGGAAACCTACGGAGCAGTTCTCTCTGCAACACATGGGGTCACCATGAGTTTTAGACCAGGGTTTCTCAACGCTTTAATGTGCACGTACTTCCTCCGGAGAGCTTTTCAAAACAGATTTGCTGGGCCTCACCTCCAGTGTTTCTGATTCAGTAGGTCTGGGGTGGGGGCTTGAGAATTTGCATCTCTCACAAGTTCCCAGGTGAAGCTGCTGATCTGGAGACCAACTGTGAGAACCACAGCTTTACACCAATGGTGCTCAATTATAAAAACCATCTGGGAGCTGTTAAAACTACTAATGCGAGGCCCCACCCCAGAATCAGAGGGTGGGGCCCAGGAATCAGTTTTTTAAAGCTCTCAGGGGATTCCAATGTGCAGTCAAGTTTGAGAGCCAAAGCCTTATATACTAGAGAGTCAATTCCTTTTATTATTGGAATTTAAAACGTTAAACTGGTTTAGGATTTACTTGAGTGTTCTGATCTGGCAACACAGTGTCACGCTCAAAGGATACAATTCCAAGTATGAAGGGACACAGACGATCTCCTTGGAGAATTCCACAGGACAATACAGGCGCCCGAGCTGTTCTTCATAGAGTGACAGGGCTTCCGTCAAATTGACACAGTTCCCCTAAATCAAAGACAGAAAACCAAACAATGGCATACTTGAGTCCTACTGAGTGTCACGCTCATTTGAAGTTCTTTAATAAAGGAGAACAATTCTATCTTTAGAGAAAAGTTCATCTTTGAAAATGAGATAAGGCTTCTGTACTTCCACAAATTGTATTTAATTCTATTTATAGACCCATTAGCTCATTATCCCTCCATCTCATTTACCAAGGCATTTCAAATTATTAGAGTATGAAGTATCAGCAAGCAGTCAGACCAATTTTTCATTACTGACACAGTCACTGTTATCAACATCATGCAATTACTGTAAGATTCATATACATAACCCACTCAAAATACATTTTCCCAATAACGGTCACCACTGTGTTGAGAATGAAGTATTGGAAAGATAATGAATGGTCTTGATTTCCAGAATGGTTTAAACAACAACCGATTCACACCCTACGCTTTCCCCCACAATCTGTGATGGATTTTAAGGCACAAGAGAACCAAAGTTTATTCAGGATATTCCCCAGTTCCACTCCTTTATGAAAAACTTCTCTTGACTTCATTGTTCTAACTTTTCTGTAGGCTTGAAAATTTCCTTCAGTTAAAAAAGCAATCACCATGCAAAATGCTGTATTTCTCCTAACCTTATAAGATCTAAGGTTTTTTTTCTCCACCATATGATAAGCAACACTCCACCAGAAGAGAAAGTAAATGCTACTCATCCTTAAAAAAACGACAACATAGGTGCACGCAGTACCCCAGTCATGTTTACACATCTTTTCCCGTTTTTCTTCAAGTAAGTGGTAAGCACTCACCCCACCTCGCTCCCCCTCAAAAAGAAAACAACAAAACACTTAGGTGTGTCCCAAGGAATGCTGGTACCACAAGTGCTGACCAACTATTCCCACTGCTTTTGTCTACCTTTCTTACCACTACTTTTTCAGCCTCCCCAGCAGCCAGGGGTGCTCAATGAGATACAGTGGAAGGCAGCTAGGGACTACTGGGAAAGCTTCTGATTCTGGGCAATCAAGGATAGACAGTGACCCTGCCCCTTCAACGTTCTTCCAGCCTATAACCTAGATATGACATTTGGAGCTGCAGCAGCCATTCTGTGACCTAGAGGAAAAGGTGACTATCAGAGATGCTGGACAAGACATAGTAGAGCTGCTGAACTGATACACTATCAATCTGCCTGGCTCTAGAGCAATGCTTCTCAAACTCCAATGTATGAATCACATGGGATCTTGTTAGAATGCAGATTTTGATTTGGTAGGTGTAGGGTAGGGTTTATCATCATTTAGCACCATCTTCCCCATGAGAGTTTTCATAACAAATGTAGAAAACAAGATGAGTATTTAATACCACTTATTACCTTTTAACATCTGAAGTTCTTAACGTGTGGAAGAACCAAACCCGTTACCATCCAGTCAATTCCAATTCACAGCAATCCTATAGGACAGAGTAGAACTACTCCATAGGGTTTCCTAGGCTGTTATCTTTATGGAAGCAGACTGCCACTTCTTTCTCCCATGGAGCAGTTGGTGGGTTCGAACAGACGATCTTTTGGTTAGCAGCCAAGCGCTTAACCACTGCACCAGCAGGGTTCCTTAACATTTGGAAGACTACTGAATATATGTTGATTCCATTTCTTCTTAAGAACTTTATTATCTATTTGCCTCAAAACAGCCAAGTACAACGTAAGATGAAAATTATTTACAAACGAAGACAATCTGTGATGTAAGCACTTCTGAAAATGGCATTTCAAAACCAACCAACCAGTCATGGGCAAGAGGGCAGAAAGAACTATTCCAAGATCGGCCTTGGTGGTTTTATCTTAGCACATTCACTCAGCATGATGTCGTCCTTCAGTGCCATCCTGTCTAGTAACCCATCATCTAGGGGCCTGCAGTGGGATTTGGCCAAAGTGCCCTTCACCAGCATATAATTTGGTTTCAACATCAAGTTCACCACGAGAGCATATAAACACCACACATGTAATTTAAATTCACAAATAGAAAACACTGCTTGGTTGTTTTTAGAACCACTAGGTAAGCTATAGAATGGAAATACCACCAAGGTGTACGGTTAGATGGTTTTCCTTGCCATCTTAAAATTGACACCACACTCTCTCTTTATAGAGGGTCTATGGGAGGACCTCCTTACAGAGAATGTGGTAAGGAAATAGGAACGTTTCAATCTGTTCTTTTCCGAGATTGTCAAAAAGCAGTTTAAAAAAGAAAACTCACCACAAATAGAGACCTACCCAAAAAAAGTAACGTGATACATTTTACTTTTCCTGTGTATTTTAAATAGAACAAACAGCATTTGTTTTTTTCCTTTTTTATAAGGCACATGGGAAAAGCAGGACAAAAATCTAATAGCAAAGAATTAAGTGCCTATTATGGATGAGAGGAAGGGAATAACGTGGCGATCCGAGCCCTGAGGGTGCAGTGGTTAAGAGCTAGGCTGCTAACCAAGAGGTTGGCAGTTCGAATCCACCAGCTGCTCCTTGGAAATCCTATGGGGCAGTTCTACTCTGTCCTATGGGTTTGCTTTGAGTCAGAATTGACTCGACAGCAACGGGTTTGGTTTTTTGGTTGGGGGGGGACACTTAGGGATTAAAGCAGTAGCTTCGGTTCTCCTAGCCCCATGTTAGGTGTGGGCAGGTGACTCTTGCTTTTTCATTTCATAGATTTCTGTATTGTTTGCATCTTTTAAACTTAGTTAGCATGTATTATTTCTGTAATATAAAAAAAAAACAGGCACACAAGAATATACCCCTAACTACACCATTTTGATCAAGTTCAAAAGCAAGCAAAACTCAGCAATATACTGATTAGGAAATCACACATATGTGAAACATCTATAAAGAAAAGCACAGAATACTACAAAAAATAACACGAAGAATGGGTTACTTCTCAAGACAGGCAGGGGTTAGGGAGGAATCTAGACACGCCAACCGTACTGGTAATGTTCCAGTTCTCAAGTTGGGTAGTGGAGTCGGGTTCACAAGTTTATTTTGCGTCATAACTTACATGTATGTTATGGACAGCTTTTAGTATGTGTCAAATAACCTACAGTTTTTTTATACGGGGGGGGGGAGGAGAGGCCAAGTCTCAGGACCTGCCTCCTAGTGGTTCTTCCCAGATTCACATTCCACTGGCCGCCAGCAGTCCACGAAGCTTTCCCCAGCTTCAGGGCAGGCTGACAAGGTTGCCTTGAAGCAGCCTTGGTGACAACAGTGACATCATGAACTGGCCGCTGTGATGCAAGCCATTTTTGGAGGGACCATTTAGCTTTTGTAAATCACCAAGTAACAGGCCAAACGACATTCTCATCCCGTCATTGACCTTACTCCAGTGCTAAGCTACACGCTTAGGAAGGGAGCTGGGGTGGCAGGAATCAAGGGCAGATCACCTGGCAGGTTAAAACAAATATTAATACTGTGGCAACCACATCAATGTATCCCTAGTCAAACCACCCTGCTTCTTGACTACTGCTTCCTCAAAGGCCTACGCCCCGTGGTCTGTATGAATCTCCTCGTGTGGGACATTCAACCACCAAATATACTATGTGATCCCTGGGGGTTAGAAAATGAGATAACTTTGTTTCCAACTGTAATGAATGCTGGGAAAGGAAACACATCCTCATATATCTTTTGTACAATTCCTGGAAACCAGCGCAGCCCGGGGCATATAATACTTGTGATTTTGAGTAAAAGTGGGTTGGCAAAGACTAGGTTATCAAAGCCTGGATCATTAATACTGACAAATGGGCTGTGGTTGTCTTTCAAGCAAGCATTTCTATTAGTCTTCAATACTAAGACAGCAGTTCCCTATAAAAGGCAGTCTACCAGGCAGATATTCAGGACAAAAGAAAATGGTCACGCTTCCTTCCTAACTCCACCTGTTGTCTATTACAAACTGACTGATTTGCAGTAGACCCACATTTTTTTTCAATCTCTTTTGGTTAAAGATCCCAGAGCCTCAAACTCTTCCCTGACTTAAGCTGTGTGAAATTTCCTTCTATTTGCAGAAATGTAAGAAAAAACAAATTCTATAGGTATACTCTACTTTGAGAAATACCCACTTATTAAAAAACAAAAAACCAACTCACTGAATTGATTTTACAAGAAGAATCCTTCATTTGAGCAGGTTTCATTGTAGATTTCCTTTAAAGCAGGGGTCAGCAAATTTTTGCTATAAAAGGCCAGATAGTAAATATTTAAGGCTCTGCAGGCCATACAGTCTCTGCTGCAACTACTCAATTCTGCTGTTGTAGCATGAAAGCAGCCACAGACAGTATTACACGAACGGGCGTGGCTGTGTGCCAATAAAACTTTATTTATAATAACAAGCAGGGGAGGGAGGAGGCAGAAGGCAGAAGGCAGATTTGGCCTGTAGTTTGCAGAGCCGTGCTTTATAGTCAAGGCTAGAATGTGTTTGTTTGTTTTTTAATTCAGTTCTGAACATCAGCAGAAAATAATCCAGTAAAATAAAGAGTTCTCAACAATCACCAAGATTAATACCCAAATAGAAAAATGAGAAACATGGGCAAAGGGCAAGGGCAGATAAAAGTGGACTCACAAAAGAAATTCAAATAGCCAGTTGACGAAACGCTTCACTTCATCAAAAAATAAATGTAACTCAAGGCAAGGAGATCATCTTTCCACCAAAAATTTTAGATGGCCACCACCCAGTGTGCACTCTTGAGAATGCACTGAAAACAGACACATCCACTGGGGTAGGATCTTTCTGTGCTACAGGCACACCAAAACCCTTCAAACTGGCAGACTCTACAACCCACCAATTTCACATTAGTCCTGTGAGTTAAACTCCCCAAAATACCTAAATGTTTATGTACACGCGTATTTACCACAGTGCTATGTGCCTATAGCAAGAAACTTCGAGGTCTAACAAAAAGAGATGTGTTAAAATACAGTCTCCGGGTTAATGAATGAGATCCGTTCCTGAGTGTCTCTTTAAGAATCTGTAGGTAAGGCAGAACAGGTGTACAGGGTTCTTATTTAGCCTTACGCTCGTGGAAACCCTGGTGGCATAGTGGTTAAGAGCTATGGCTGCTAACCAAAAAGTCAGCAGTTCAACCCTACCAGGTATTCCTTCTAAACCCTATGGGGCAGTTCTACCCTTGCCCTATAGGGTTGCTATCAGTTGGAATCAACTCCATGGCAACAAATTTGGGTTTTTTTTTAGTGCAACAGGAGCTCTGGTGGTGTAGTGGTTAAGAGCTACGGCTGCTAACCAAAAGGTTGGCAGTTTGAATCCACCAGCCACTCCTTGGAAACCCTATGCGGCAGATCTACTCTGTCCTATAGGGACGCTCTAAGTCAGGATTGACTCGATGGCAGTGCGTTTGGTTTTGGTTTTAGTGCAAGAAAAGGCTCGAAACCTTTTTAACGATTTAAAAGCTGCACGTGCAGCAAGTGAAGGTGACTGTGATGAAAAATGTGTTGAAGGTAGGGGGTGGCTCAATCAGTAGGGGTTTGTTCAATCATTTCAAGGTGAGGGCAAATTTACATAACATGAAAGGGCAAGGATGAGTTGTCTGTACTGCCTGTAGGTAAAGAATGGTCAGTAAGTACTTAAATCATGTTTCTGAGAAATGGCATGTGAAAATCCTTCCAGTGCATTAAGATATAAAAAGCAGCACAGAAACAGTATATACAAGACAATCCCAGATTTGCAGAAATTTTGGTTTTTTCCTATGCAAAATTTGCTTTGTTCTTTGGTGTATTTTTCACATTTTATCAATGAAGATGTATAACATCGACCATTTTTTTGAAAACTAAAGGGGAGAGTGACAGGATTTATTTGCAAAAATGTATTATAAAAACTTTTCCAAAAATCATGCCCTGGTGGGACAATGAATAACATTTATTAAGCATCTATAAACCAGACACCCGTGTATACTCTTTCCACACTATCATCACAAGAGCAACATAAAATTGGTATCATCCATGTTTTATGATTTGGGAAGCTTAGGCTCTTGGGAATTTCAATAAACCTGATTTCTCAGGAGTTAGCCCATGGCTGGCTGGCTATTTTTGTAAATAAAGTTTTATTGAAACACAGATATGCCCAATCATTTCTGTACTGTCTACGGCTGGTTTTGTGCTACAACGGCAAAGTTGAGTAGTCGTGACAGAGACTACATGGCACCCAAAGTCTAAAATATTTACAAACTGGCTAATAGAAAACGTTTGGCGACTGCTAATCTATACTCTTCCCCACACTGCTGAAATGTCTGAAAGCACATTTCCCAGCATCCCTTTCCCCCAAATGGCTGCTGGGTTAATCTGCCAAGAAGAGGCTCTTGCACAGGATCTGGGAGGCAGAAAAGAAGCCATTCCTCCCCAATGGCAGCTGCAGGCAGATGTGAGGGCTGCAGAGCTGTCCCGTTGAGCTTCTTGAATCACCCACTTTAGTACTTACTACAGAGACTTCCCAGACAGTCCGGACTTGTGTAGCCTCGGGTAGAGTTCTTCAGAAATCACCGAGATCATCAGTGGCTGCTTCCCTGAGCTTCACTGCCCCAGCCCTTCCAAGCATTGCCTATGTCTTTCATTTTCTGTATTAAAACCCTTCCCACTTAAAATACCTGAGTAGCTTTCTTGTTCTTGACTGATACACCCATTAAAGAAAGCAAGTGTTTGAGGTCACCTGAACAGTTGAGTTCTCAAACACTTGTTGACCAATTTCTGGAAAATGTTAAGTATAAATAGTGGAATCTCTGTCATATCTCTCTGAAAAGGGAAGTAGCAGACATCCTACCCCAGAGAATGGAGATGTCGATCTGCAAAGGGCACCCTATTCATCCTGCACAATCAGCTTGCAGTTACCAGAGCGGCACACTCATTCCTGCCTCCAAGCCTCTGAGATCCCATTTTCTTGGAATGCCCCTCCTTGCTCCTTGTTCACCTTCAGGGTTCAGCTCAAGTAGCTCTCCTGGGTAGTCCCCTCTTAACTGCTCCTTCCCTCCTGCCCCCAGCATAGTCTGAAAAGTCCTTCTGTGATACCTTGTTAATATGGATCCTCATTCACTGAGCTTGACAGTTAGTTGTCTGTTGCCCTATCAGCTTCCCAGCAGTTTCACTAAGGCAAGATCCACGATTAATCGCCACGTGCCCGCGTATCTCGCATGCCGGGGAAGAGGAGGAAAACAAGATAGGCTGGGGCCTGATTCAAAGTCTCTCAAAGTTGCTAAGTTGTTTTCAGCATCAATCTCTGATCTTATAAAATGTCTAGGATAGGGTCAGCTTGCAAACGCTTTCTCGGGAAAATCAGGTTAAGACCTCTACCTGGTTTTGACTTTTAAATATACTAATGCTTTAAAAAATAAAAACCACTGAAACACCACTAACCTCTTAAGAGTCTTCCTAGAGAATGAGAAAAACACTGCAATTTATCTCCTTCTTGTGGCAGCAGCTCAAACTACAGCCAAAGCCCACGTTTGATAAACAGACTTCTGAATTGGACAGTGGTGATTCAGCGGTAGAATTCTCGCCTTCTATGTGGGAGACCTGGGTTCAATTCCCAGCCAGTGCACTTCACTGTGCAGCCCCCACCCGTCTGTCAGTGGAGGCTTGCGTGTTGCTATGATGCTGAACAGGTTTCAGTGGAGCTTCCAGACTAAGACGGACTAAGAAGAAAGACTTAGCGATCTACTTCCAAAAATCAGCCAGTGAAAACCCTATGGATCGCAACGGTCTAATCCGCAACCCACCATAGCATTTTTGTTCCATTGTGCACGGGGTGTCCATGAGTCGGGGGCCGACTCGATGGCAGCTAACAACAGAATGAGAAAAACAGCGCAATGTGTCTTCATCTAGTGGCAGGAGCTCATACTACAGCCAAAGCCCATGTTGATAAATGGGTTTTTCAATTATCAATCCCCTAGTGAATGAGGAAAAATAAAATCACAATCTGTGTCTCCATCTGGTGGCAGCAGCTCATACTACAGCCAAAGCCTGAGGTTGCTAAATCAAGATGATGGGACACAAGAGACTTCATTAATTCCCAACATAATTCAATTATGCTGTTCTATTCCTAGCAGACAGAAATTTCAAGATATATGCATTCAAATTTCAAAATATAAAATTCTTATTGAGAGTTCTTGGAAAGGAAACACACACACACACACAGACACACACACACAGAGTCAGGGAGCCTACCTGTGTAAAATATTTCCCATCCTGTTTCAATACTTTCATTGAAAGGTCAAGAATCAGTCTGAGAAACTCCCATGTGGAATCTGGATGTTAAAAAAAATAAGTTTAAGTTTTCTAAATATGGGTTTGCATGCATCAAAAGCAACATCTAAAGTCAAACATTCACACTAATACTCAAAAATACCAAAACACATAAATAATAGCCCTGCCCTGAGCATTGTGCTCTTCTAAGATCTATCCACACGAGATCAAATTGACAACAGTAATTCAAAAGATTAGATAGGAACCTTAGGGGACAGTGAGTTTATGTTAATGAGGGAGGAACAACTCAAAAAGGAGGGGGAGAATGGTTGCACAACTTGAAGAATGTAATCAGTGTCACTAAATGGTACATGCAGAAACTGCTGAATTGGTGTATGTTTTGCTGTGTGTATTCTCAACGACAACAACAAAATAAATACAATTTTAAAATAAATAAATAGCCATGAGCTTCAGACCCAAGGTTCAAGGGCTTGTTCATGAATGATAAGGTATTGTTGTATATCAGACGTGCACAGACACAAAAACAAGGTCAATATCCTAACAGAAACCACAAGGTCATCAGTGTGCACCCAATTCTGCAAACTCAGTGGGAAGTCAAGTTTATAGAAAGAACATTAACACAGAAAATGCAAACCAACAGTGATTTACAGTGGGTGGTTTTAGAAAGAGAACTGCCCCTATTGTTGCTTCGAAAAGTCACCCTATGTCCCAAAACAGGTTAAAAATCACATAATTTAAATAAATTATCAAGTGATCTAATGTTTCAATGATGTGATTAGGAGTCATTTTACTTAATGTGTTTGTCTCAAACGACTGAGTTAATTCAATCATTTAGTGGCAGAATAGGAATTAAAGCCAGATCCAAATCCAGTAACCTTTCTACCACAGGCCTCATTTTAACTACCTTTAAAAAAGAGGAAATTTAACTAGACGTTCTCTAAGATTCCTTCACCTTCACATTGTACCAAGAGAAACATTTCTCTGAACAGTATCTTGGTTAAAATAAAAAACAAAACCAGAATCTACCTTCCTCTGGAGATGTGGAGATTGGAACAGCTGTCAAATCATTAATCACATAATCAAACTTTCTCCCTTCTTTGGCGTACCTCTTCAGTACTGGAATGCAGTCTTCTATTAGAACCTTCCAGAGAGACCCAAAACATACGGGTGAGCCAATAAATGCAGATGTAGTTAAACAACACTTGTAGAGGAAGGGGAATACGCAAGCTGGGGCTCCATCTGCAGCTCTTGCCACTTTCATCCATATTCACAATAGTGAAAATTAAGTTCTTACTATATGTGCTCTCTATGCCTCTTCATTTCATCAAAAGAACAACTCTTGTAGCTACTATTACTTATCCGCATTTTACAAATGGAGAAACAAACTTAGGAGAGGTTACAAAGCTTGTTCAAAGGCATAAAAACGGAGCCAGGAAGTGCATCTAGATCTGTCTGAAAGTCAAGTTCATGCTTTCAACTCTGATCTATACTGCCCCTCTCACTACTATCTGTATTCTACTTTAAGTTTTTCTTTTATACTAAGCACCTGAGTGACCTCGTTACCTATTGATTTATTTTTGCATCTTTTAAACTATTAACCTATGGTCTTTTCAGTGTTCTCTAACACTTCAAGTACTGCTGATAATTGTTGTTGCTGTGTGCCACGGAGGCAATTCCAACTCATAGAGACTCCAAGTGACAGAGCAGAACTGCCCCAAAGAGTTTTCTTGGTTGTAATCTTTACAGAAGTAATCACCAAGTCTTTCCCCCGTTGAGTTGCTGGGTGGGTTCGAACTGCCAACCTCTCAGTTAGCAGCCCAGCACTTAACCACTGCGTCACCAGGGCTTCTTATAGTGGAATCTAGAAGCTAATTATCTAGAAGATAATAAAACCAAAATCAAACCAAACCCAATGCCGTCGAGTCGATTCTGACTCACAGAGACCCTGTAAGACAGAGCAGAACTGCCCCATAGGATTTCCAAGGCTGTAATCTTTACGGGAGCAGACTGCCACATCTTTCTTCCACAGAGTGGCCGGTGGGTTCAAACTGCTGACCTTTCAGTTAGCAGCCGCGCACTTAACTACTGCACCACCTGGCTCCTTAGTAAATAAGGCCATGTAAATAACAGCTCCTACAATCACAGTCATTAACAAGTGGAGTATAGCAGTTAAGCACTGGAATTCTTATAAAGATCCTATGTAATAAATACAGGAAATAAATTTGGTGTTTGCTTATCTTTGAAGTGTTGAAGCTATATACTGGGGACTCATCAGGCTCTAGGCAACATCCTGAACTAGACAAGAGTTATTTTTCTAATTACAAAAAATATGCTCATGTTTTAAAAATTCACACATAACAAATAAGTTAGAAATCAGAAGTTTGGCACAATTCCCTAAGATAACCTGTTCCAGATTTTTTCCTATAAACCTTCTCAGACATACCCTCACAATCATAAATTTTTTTAAGAAACTAGATTTTACCCTACTGTTATTTTGTATGAGTCTCTGGGTGGTGTAAGCAATTAAGCACTTGGCTGCTAACTCTAAGGTTGGTGGTTCAAACCCACCCAGAGGTGCCACAGAAGAAAGGCCTGGCAATCTGATTCCAAAGTCACAGCCATGAAGACCCCACGGGGCACAGTTCTACTCTGAAATCAAAATCAACAGCAACTGTTGGTTTTATACCTTGCTTCAATTGATCACTTAATATAAGTCCATCTAGAAAAACATACAGAAGGTACTACCCCCCAACTGTCTTCAATCCACTCATTAACCCCATTTTGTATGTATCATGCTCGTAATTTTCCCATGCTTATATAAATTCTTATATACATCCATACATATGCACAAATGTTCTCTTTTGTAAAACTTGGATCACATACATCATTGTGAACTTGGAAATTTTCACCCAACATCTCTCCAAGTAATAATATTTAAAACGATCCATAATATGGATACATAAAAATTTAATCATTCCACTAAAAGCATTGTACTCAGGTCATCCCCAAGCTTTGGCCTCTACAGAGCCATAATAAGCCTCCTTGTATCGGTGGCTGTGGGCTCAATTCTCAAAACATTGGGCTGCCAACACAAAAGGCATGTGTATCTGAATTTAAAATTTTTTCCTTTAGTTTTTAATTTTGATAGCAATTCACACTCAGATCAGCAGTGTGTGCGAGCACCTGCTTGCTTACATCCTCTCCAGTATGGCATCGTGTCCCTCTTCTTACATTTTGCTAAGTATGTTGCCAGTGTTTTAACATGCACTTCCCTAGGCCACTAGCAGGGGTGAGCATCTTGTTATATACTTACAGGTTATTTGACTGGGTTTTTGGAGCCCTGGTGGCGCAGTGGTTTAAGCGTGTGGCTGGCTGCTAACCAACAGGTTGGCAGTTTGAAACCACCAGCTGCTCCTTGGAAACCCTAAGGGGTAGTTCTGTCTTATAGGGTCACTATAAGTCAGAATCGACTCAACAGCAACTGGTTTGGTTTTTTTTTTTTTTTTTTTGACTTGGCTTTTCTGAGAATTACCAGTTCATATCCTTTACACTTTTTTTTGTTTAGATGACTTAATTTTATCTCACCTTAAGTTGTCGGGGCTCTTTGTATTATTAAAGAGATGAACTCACTGTCGTGTTCATTACCAGCATTTTCCCCAGTCTGTCTTTTGGCTTTATTTATGGTATCATGTTGTCAAGGCAGTTTCTTGTCTTTCCTTAAAAGGTCTCTCCAACTCCAAGCTTACGTACTCTAAATGTTCGTGAATGTATTAGTTTTTATAGCTAGAGGTTGTAGCCACCTGAAATTAATTTTTCTATGGTGTGAGTCAGGGCTGGCAAACTTTGTTCTCACTCATACGGACAGCCCATTATGCCGGCATGGCTTATTAAATAAACCAAACCTCCTTTTCCCCCTGAGTGAACTGAAACGCACCCTGGGCCAAATATTAAAGGTCCCTACATGCTCAGATGTGTTCAAGTCCCTGGGACAGTCCTCTTATTTGCCTATTCCTGTGTCAACATCCTATATACTTTGATTACTGTGCTTTGCAGTAAATCAATAACCACTGGAGCACATCTCCCTTCACTATGATTATTTTCCAAAAATTTTCTTGGCCATTCTTAGATGTTCATTTTTACAAATGAACTGTCAAATCATTTGGTCTAATTCTAAAACCTCCCTTGGGAATCTGATTGGAATTATTTATAATTAGGATGAAACAGACAGTGCTCTGATATTTTTGTCCAAGAAATATAGCATGTTTCTCCACATATCTGGGCCTTATTTGATATCTTTCAATAAGATCTTAACATAATTCATATCAGTCTCACAATACTAATCTTGTTAAATTTATTCCTAGGTATTTAACAGTCTGTCACTTTTTTGAATAGGGTTTCTACCCTCCCCCATTTCCACTCAAACTTTTTAGTGTTTAGAATAGCATAGAGAAAAAAAATTGTCTTCATTGAATCATTTTACCAAATTCTCATGAATTCAACTAATTTTCTAGACAAGTGTCCTAGGTTTTAAGCAAACATTCATATCATCAACAAATAATTAGATTCTTTCTATATCTGTGCTGTTCTCATCTATCTTATTACTCCAGAGTGCTTAAGAATGACTGTTAAATATGCTCGAATGCTTTGTCATCTGTTAATATCATATTTTTCTCCTCTAAATTATTCATATAATGAATTATGTTGACAAATTTCTCCAGGTTCACATCCTTACATTTCTGAACTAAACCTTACTTGGGCATAATATATAATTCTTTAAATAAACAGCTAGATTTAATTTACTATGATTTTACTTAGAAATTTTATACATACATAAAATCAGTCTTTAATTTCTTCCTGTACTACCTTAATGATTTTAGTATTAAGGTCATTCTATCATTATAAAGGAAACCCTGGTGTCATAGTGGTTAAGAGCTATGGCTGCTAACCAAAAGGTCAGCAGTTCAAATCCACCAGGCTCTCCTTTGAAATCCTATGGGGCAGTTCTACTCTGTCTTATAGGGTCGCTAGGAGTTGGAATCTATTCCACAGCGATGGGTTTGGTTTTTTTTTTTTTTTTTTTTTTTGTTTTATCATTATAAAAGGAACTGGGGAGCTTTGGGACTTTTATCTTCTAGAAAATGTTAAACAACAGAGTAATTATCTGATTTTCAAATGCGAAACAGTTGCAAACACCTGACGTCTTTTCAATGATAGCATTTTAATGGCCAAGGGGCTCAATCTTTCACCCCACACATAAGGAACCCCCACTAGGCAGCCCCACCTCTTGAGCTCTTAGCTCCAGGAGAACTTTGAGCTTCAGAGGGATTTTCCAGGCTCCTCATGGTAGTTGCACTGTTCCAGAAAGAAGGCCGCAAAGAGGATGCATTCAGACACCCAACTTCCTCAAGAGCCTGGTTTTAAGTAAAAACACTGCTTTTCCCTTCCCCAAAATGTCAGCTTGTCTACGGCATCACATGCCTTTAGTTGCCTGCCTTCATAACAGCTATCAGGTCAAGAGGCCGTTTTCCAAGGATACTAGTAAATCCTCCCACATATATTCCACCTCTAATTACAACAGGCAACAACTCTACTGCACTGCTGTTTTGTGTCTGCATTTCTGTTTGTATGTTTTTTCTTAATCCGAGTAAAGAAGCCATAAAAAGGAGCCAGGGCAACAGGGCTGTGAATCACTCCTCTAAAGTTCCCGTATGACCTCAACTAAATTTCCTTTCAACTCTCTAAGCTCCACCTTCTCCTCCAAAAAAAGATAACTTTTAGCCTATTATGAAGCAAATCTGTCATCCTATGGAAGTAATGACCAGTCAACTTTCAAGCACAGTAGGATTTAGGACAAACTAATTTGCTTCTCAAAAAGTAATTGTTCTTACCTCAAACATTTTAATTCTCTACACATACCAATTAAATACCTGAATTCCCACTGAAAGACCCAGACCCAAAGATTATGGACGGTAGAGAGACAAAAGGTAGGGGGACCAGGTCAGGAAAAGGTACAGGACATCTTTTATACAAGAATTAACGAATGTGACTAAATTCAGAGAATCTGAAGTTAGTGGTGTCATTGTTATTACATGTATATAGAAACCAGCTGCCATGGAGTTAACTCTGACTCACGGTGACCCCATCTGTGTCGGAGTAGAAATGTGCTCTGTAGGGTTTTCAATGGCTGATTTTTCAGAAGTAAATCACAAAGACTTTCTTCTGAGGAACCTCTGGGTGGACTTGAACCTCCAACGTCTTGGTTAGCAGCCAAGCACTTAACCATTTGCACCACCCAAGGACTCCTATACGTATATAAAACCAAAACCAAACCCACTGCTGTCAAGTTGATTCCAACTCAGAGTTCTACTACAGGACAAAGTAGAACTGCCCCACAGGGTTTCCAAGGCTATAATCTTTACAGAAGCAGACTGCCACATCTTTCTCCCATAGAACGGCTGGTGGTTCCAAACTGCCAACCTTTCGGTTAGCAGCCAAGCTCTTAACCATTGTGCCACCAGGGCTCCTTTATATGTATATACCTACCCTATATACATATACGGAGCCCTGGTGGTGTAGTTGTTAAGAGCTCAGCTGCTAACCAAAAGGTTGGCGGTTTGAATCCACCAGTCGTACCTTGGAGACCTTATGGGGCAGTTCTACTCTGTTTTACAGGGTCACTGTGAGTCAGAATCGACTCAACACCAACAGGGTTTATATATATATATATATATATATATACATACACATACATATATACACACACATATATGTATATAGATATACATGTATGTATATATATACATATAGTACACACAAGGAGATGATTTGTTCATCTTTGTAACCAATTATACTTAAAGCTGGGTTAAGAAGGCATAATTTCAATCAATATCAATTATATTATTGGCTGATTTAAAAATAAGTTACCTGCAAAACATAATTACCTGATAGCATTCTCCTTTAAGATTGTCTAAGACTTCGCCACATGTTTTTCGCATGTATTTCTTACACCCATCAATCACCATTTGGTCAATGTCCAGAAGAGGTTAAGGAGAAACTTTCCCTGAATTTGGATGTACTAAAGAATTCTGAAACAGCAATACTTTAAAGGAAAGGTTAAAACACAAAGGTTTTATAACGCTAATTTGGGTATCAAGTTTTAAAAAAATGGTGAACAAGACAATATTTTAAATTTTCCACCAGGAACACTCCAAATGAACTGAATTTTCTTTTCTTTCCATGAAATGGCTTAGGAAGGCTATTTCAGCAATTGCTGAGCAGCAGACATGGTACCAAGGCCACTTGCTCTTTAATCCTCAGCTACATTATCTCTGCTTCTTTGTTGGTGGCCACATAAAAGGCTATGTTGAAATATTTGTTCAAGGCAGTCCTTATAACACATTCGCCTTAAGTCTGCAGTAACATTAACTGAAGTCCTAAGACAAAAAAGGAGGAAGGAAATACAAAGCCCATTGAACTTACACAACAAAGGATATCTCTACCATAGTGACCATCTTTGGTTTCAGTTTGACTATTTCACATAATATGCCCCCATCTCCACCTCCTAGAATCAGTACATCTTTGCCAGTGTAATCTTCTCTCCCACTGCCCATGATGGCCTTGGTATACGCAAAATCACTCTCTGCCAAATCTAGGGAGAAACAGATCAAAAATGGTGAATTGACCAAAACCCACAGCACACCTGACCTCACCACATTAGAAACTGCTGAAATCTAACCTAAAACTTCAATTCTTCATTTTCAATCTTTAAAAATAGTCAACAATGTGCAAGGTTTTATATATATATGTGTGTGTGTATATGTATTTTTTGAATTGAAGACTTTTCACCATCCTATTCATCTGATACGTAATATAATGGGCATTAGTCTGTGGGAAAAAATTCATTCTTAAGAATGTTCTGATATGCTGGATAATTAAAATCAATTAAGGCTTACAGATGAAATAAAATGACATCTGGGAGTTGCTTGAAAATAATATTCAGAGGCAACTCAAAAGGTTGGATGGGACGCTTGGAGGCAGTGAGTTTAAGATAATGGTGCTGGGAAAATGTGAAAAGGATAGCGAGAATGGTAGCACAACTTGGAGAATGTAACCAATGTCACTGAACTGTACATGTAGAAATTGTTGAAATGGTGTATTGTTGGCTATGTATACTTTCACCAAAATAAAAAATATATTAAAAAATAATAATAGTAATATCAGAAGGAGAAAGTAGACTAGGGTTTAGGTGAAACAAGACTGGCTAGGAGTTGATAATTGTGGATGCCCGATAGTGAGTTTATATAGGTTCATTATACTGTTTTGTCTACTTATGTCTGAAATTTCCCATAATGAAAACAAACAAACAAAAAAGCAATTACATTTCTATTGAAGTACAATCCAAGTACTCATCACCAAGAAAAGAAACGTTAACACAACGTTCAAACGTTATGGCACTAATGACATGAGGGCCCAAGTAACTGACAGGTTAATACAATATAAATGTGCAGTTCCTAAATTGTACACCTGAAAAATGTTCAGTTGGCAAATGTTGTATTATATATATTTTCACAACAGTAATAAATAAACGCATATCTCAAGAAAATAGCAGGGCCAAGGACAAACTTGGACAAATCCACAATGGCGCGATTTGTCAGGAAAACACCATAATCCAACACATCACTACATTATTCCACATACAGGGTGGGGACGGTATACTTACTGACGTCCCCACTGAGGATGAGAATATTTCCAAATTGCTTTGAGTGTAGAATTTTAATGTTCTGATAAGGTGAATCTTCATCATACATCACCTCATCAATGTCATACTCCACCAGGCGCCCGTCAGCAGTGGGCCAATATCTGTCAATGGCCCCTCCTCGAACTATGGGTGGTAATCTGGAAAAAAGGGAAACCGAAATGAGCCTTACTAGGACACTGTTTATGGTGAGGGGGCCTTACAACTGGACCTGGGATTAAGAGTGCTCTAACGAAAGCCACATGACTCCAGGCCGGCTCCTGAATGGCCACCACCACGTGTCAACAATTGTTGTACAGAAGAGTTCACTTTTTTAAAAGGCTTTCTGATATGCTTTAAATGTTTCCCAAATCAAAAGCTGAAGAAGAAAATGGCCACTGCAAATATATCTCACCCCAAATACTTTAGCAGGTTATCTCTTAGGACCTCCTACATCAACACATTGCCATTATCACATTCACACATATTTCCATGGATGTAATACCACTTATCTAGTAAAAAAAAAAAAAAAAAAACCTGTTGCTGTCAAGTTGATTTCAACTCATAGTGACCCTATAGGACAGAGAAGAACTGCCCCACAGTCTCCAAGGCTGTAACCTCTACGGAAACAGACGGCCACATCTTTCTCCTGTAGAGTAGCTGGTAGGTTTGAACTGCTGACCTTTCAGTTCCCAGTTGAGTGCTTAACCACTGCGCCACCAGGGCTCCTTCAATATCTAGTACAGAATCCATATTCAGGTGATCCCAACTGTCCCAATAACGTCCTTTACAGCTGTTCTAGGAGCCCTGGAGGCACGGTGGTTAAGAGCTCGGCTGCTACCTGAAAGATCAGCAGTTCAAACCCACCAGCCGCTCCGTGTCACACTGGGGACACAAGATGTGTGTTTTTCCTAGTATTGGTGATGCTAAGCTTAATCACTTGGTTAAAGTGATATCCACCAGATCTCTCCATTCCTAAAAGTACTTTTTTCCCTTTGAAATTACTAAGCAGCCTGTGGGGTGGGGTCCTCTGAAACTATGTGAAGGCCCTGATCCCCCAACAGACCTTCACCAGTGGCTGTGGCATCTATTGTAGACCCCGGCCTGAAACAATTATTATTATGTTGTTATTGTTGTTATATACCGTTATTCTGACTCATAGCGACCCTATATGACAGAGCAGAACTGCCCCATAGGGTTTCCTAGGCTGTAATCTTTACAGGAGCAGACCACCAAGTCTTTTCTCCCGAGGAGCCACTGGTGGGTTTGAACTGCTGACCTTTTAGTTAGCAGATGAGCGCTTTAACCATTACACCACTAGGGCTCCTCACTATAAAACCAAAAACCAAACCCATTGCCGCTGAGTCAATTCCGAATGTATTATTACTATAAGGGTTGCAAAATGACGATTTTCTAGTTTTACTCTTGTAAATACTCAGTATTTTTGATAGGATGAACTTAGCATAAACTACCACCAGAGGATGCTAACTAAATGGCAGGGGAAAACAGGCCTGGAAAAGGGGCTTGGCGATATAACCCAGACCCAAACAAAATGAGAACACATCACACACGTGACACAACAGGGTACCCATCACGTGTTCTCAAACACAGCATCACGTGCAGGCAGAGAAACCTAAAATGCTGCAATATGCCACCTGCCGTACTCTTAGGAGTCTCTTTCCACCCCCGCTCACCTGATTCTAAGAGTACAGTTTGAACCAGTTAGTAGTTAAAGAGGTCTTCTATGAGGAAATACTAGCATTTGTAGAGAGCACTGAGATTTACAAAGCAGGTCCGCAGAAGCTCTCATTTCATCTGAATAGCTCCTGATTTAACCACGTCTTCATCATCTTTCATGGAAACAAATTCAGTTTGGGGGATTTTCGGCAGACCAGAGGTTTTTCTTGTAAAATGTAAAGAGCTCCAGTCAAGACAACCCCAGAGAGGAGGCAAAACAGGATCTGAAGGAGGTCTCTTCCACCCTGGCTGAAGCCGACAGGCAAGGGATGGAGCAAGGTGGAGAGAGGTAGCCACCTATGGTGGGGTGCTAAGTACAAAGTCACCTGCACTTAGGGGGGAACACACCCCCTGGTTGACAGCCAGCCAGCTATAGGCAATGACTGAACTAAGCACAAACCCACTGAAAAGAAACAAGGTCTATTCTCTACTGTGTCAACAGTGCCTTGGCTATGTGGAAGAACTCGGCTCGCCTGCAACACAATTGTTTTTCAGACTGGCAAAGAAACAAACAGGATCTCTAACAGGACACGGAAGTCATAACCTTGATGAACCACTCAACGGAGCATGAAGTGCCTCTCCCAGTAACCAGCTACTTACAGAATTCTTGTTTCAACCATCACTCTTGAAAATCTAAAATGGGTTGTAGAGAGAAAGGCGGAATATGTCCTGAACCTCAGGTACGCTGTGGAAATTGTGAGAATTTTGGGGGGCTGGGAGGGTCATGCCCAATTGTTGAGGTAGCCTATCCTAGCTACCAACACAAACCTTTGTTTATGAATTAAGAACAAGGGCAAATCCCTTGACTTTGGAGAAAACTAAAGAATCAGCCAGTAGTTCAAGACAACCAATCAGCAAATCGCTCCCTGTGAAAAGATTTTAGGTGGCAAACAGGAGAACTTTAACGAAAGGATTGAACTGAATGAATGATCTCTAAGGCTCCCTCCAGCTCTAACATCCTAAGAGTTGATGGATAAGAAATCTTTATCTCCAATGCTGATGCTTATAGAAATACAGATTTAAATGGAAAAGAATGAAGTAATAAGTGAGGACTTCATGGCAAGTCTTTTTTTTCTTTTAAATTAACTCCCCATTCCCCAGCCCCTCCCCCTCCCCCAGTTCCTGGTAACTAACCATTAATCTATTTTTGTCTCAATGCATTCGCCTAGCCTAGATATTTGCAAGAATTTTTTTAAAAAACAAAACTTACTGATGTGAGCTTGTTTTCCTGTTTTGTTTTTTTTTAACTAGATTACAAAAATAAAAATTTTCTAATAAACCCCATGGCTTTAGTTTAACATGGCCTCTTAGGTGAAAACTCAGATTTAATTCATCAGCTAAAAGGGAAAATAATTTCAGGCACTGTTACCGGGTTATTTGTTTATGATTTCATCTTTAACAATGTCGTTCCCCAGATAGAAAAGTACAACCATCCTTGTCCTTTTGAGTTTTGAGGACAATAACAATGGGTCCATGACAAGGCATTCCCAAGTTCTCAGCCCCCTCCACCCTTATTTTATACGAAGACATAAAAATTGTGACAAGCAAAAACAAGGTCTGTATGCAGCATCCAAAATCTAAACCATAACTCCACTCTTACATAAAAAACTAAGAAAGCAAATAAACCTCACGGCTCATGAATGCTGAAGCCCATAAGTGCAATTCATCTTTTACTAACTCCCAGAAGTAACCCTAATCAAAATCAGGCCACAACTGGATGTTGGCTGATTCATTATCATTGAGTTAAGTCATTTTGCCATATAGTGGGAACCTGTTCAAGACAATGCTGGGTGCAAAGAAGAAAAACTCTACCAGCAGGACAAGATGAAAGATCCAGAAAGGGGCAAGGCTTTGCATGTGCTTTTAAGGAGGGAGAGGGGGAAGGACACAGCCCAGGACACATAAACTGAGCTTGGGTGGGGTAAAAAATCTGGGTGCTTAGAGCAATTCAAAAAAGTGGGCAAGTCCTGCACAGTGTCATTTTCTTTTAAGTTTGTTGCTGTCCTTGTTCACCCTACCTGAGGTTAAACAGTTTTCTAGTTATCTCATGTCCTGGAGCTTTCCTATGGGCTTATCAAACTTAGCACACTGAGTCATTAAGTACCTGAAGATCGAAGCTCTTGCCTATAAGGTTCCCTCTTCTGGAAAGTGTCAAGAATTGGCAAAACCTGTATTCTGACTGCTTCCATCAGAGGAATGACCTTTGTAAAGTCCCTCCAGTCTCTGCATCTAAGTGTTTGCCTCTATGAGCAAGGGACAGGACTCCTACCCCTACCCCAGAGGGCCTAATGAGAAGCTACCCACCTAGAGCAGCCACAGATCACTGATAATTAAGTGCTAAAAATAAAAAATAGAAACCCCGTTGCCACTGAGTTGATTCCAACTCATAGCGACCCTACAGGACAGAGCAGAACTGCCCCGTTGGGTTTCCAAGGAGCGGCTGGTGGATCTGAATTGCTTTTGGTTAGCCCCTGAGCTGTTAACTACTGTGCCACCAGGGCTCCAAATATCCAAAGCACTTCTTAATCTCCATGACCTACTGGACCCTACCCCTTCCAACAATCGTCGAAACTGTTATTTCTATCTTTGAAAATCTGACACCACCAGCAAATACTACAGCGCTGTCCAATAGAACTTTCTGCAGTGATGGAAATGTTCTCTATCTGTGCTATCTGGGGCTAATGCCACTGAGGAACTGAATTGTTTAACTAATTTAAATTGAAATAGCCGCGTGCAGCTACCCTACCAAACAGGGCCAAGTTTTTCAAAGCTCAATTTCCTTCATTACCATTTGAAAATAATCTAACCTGTGACTGCTGGAGGTGGGTGGCTTCCCAATTATTATCTTGGAAGGCTTTTTTACTTGAAGGCTTTCAGGCAAATTTTGTATCACCCTATCCTATCAGAAGGTTCTTAATATTGCTTAATTCCACTCTTGAAGTTAATGGCTGGTAGAAATTCCCCAAAGTGCCCTAACTCTTCAGCTCAGTATGGTGCATGAGGCCCTTCAGTCAGACCCCAAACCCACTCTGCAGCCCAGTTCCATCCCTTGCGCTAGTCACTGAAATTTCTTCAGCCAAAGGCTCCCCACCCACCTTCACTCAACTCACCCCCATCTGACCTGCTCTGGGAAATGTTGGTGGGCCCTCCTTTCATCTACACACAACCATTTACTCAGTGCCAGCTTTGCGCAAGCAGATCACCAGGCCTTCTGTTCACGTTTCATACTTGAAAACAGCTCTATTTCACAAAAGGGGAGACTGAGGCTTGGAGAAGCTCTAGTCAACCAGCTAACTGACCCAGATGGGGCAGCTTCCAAGCCTGCTTTCATTGTCTGATACCACCTAAACCATAGAAAAATAAAAACCAATCCATTGCCGTCGAGTTCATTCTGACTCACAGAGACCCTACAGGACAGAGTACAACTGCCCCACAGGGTTTCCAAGGTTGTAATCTTTAAGGATGCAAACTGCCACATTTTTCTCCCATGGAGCCACTGACTTTTCGGTTTGCAGGTGAGCGCTTAACCACTGTACCACCAGGGCTCCTTGATACCACCCAACAGCCTCCCTAGCATATACCCATTGCCACTGAGTCGATTCCGACTCACAGCAACACTACAGGACAGAGCAGAACTGCACCATAGCGTTTCCAAGGAGTGGCTGGTGGATTCGAACTGCGACCTTTTGGTTAGCAGCCGTAGCTCTTAACCACTGTGCCACCTGGGCCCTGTCCCTATCATATGGATGAGTCATTAATGTGTCATTTTCCCCAGTGGCCTGTAGAAGGGTCCAGTTCCTTTGGTCTAGCACCTCTCTGCCAAGGTGCTTAAATCTAGATATTAAGTACCCTTAAGACTGGGGTATGTGGTTTTTTAAAAATTTCTGCCTTAACTCAATTTCTGAAATAGCTTTTTGTGACCTTTCGAAACTTTATGTGTTCAAACTACAATTTGGGTAAAATACTAAATTCCTCTGAGGCAGAAAGGTCTCAAGTGTTCTCCAGAAAGCCTGACTTATTTTTTTCTCAAATGCTTAAATTTGAGTTAATCAGATAAAGGAAACTACCTGCTTTTCCACAAAAAGAATGAAAAAGAAAATATCCAAATAACCACATTTATAACCGTTGAGAAAACTCACAATATTTCTTAATCCTACTATCTGGGCATCCTGTGGCGCTCTGCCACCTCAGAGTACTGAAAACCACAGGAAAGACTGCAAAGCACCATGGGATGGGCGGGCATCGGTCCAATTAGACAGAAGAGACATGAGGCTCAATAACAGTAGATTTTGAACCCTAATCTAATTTTCTCAGCTCTATCTCACTACTTCCCCATGTGCTAAGGTTGTTTTGTTCTCATTTAAAGAGGTAAAAAGACCAGTTCATATTCAAAACTTAAGTCCACTGAAAAGACATATTGAGATTTAGTTAAGATATCATGAAATGCAAATATTCACAGAGGAAACTATGCTCAAGAAGGGATCACGAAAACCTAACCATGGGTGAAAGGGTCAGGCATGGAACAGGTGTGTAGACTGGACACTGGTATAAGACAGTGGTTCCCAAACTTTGCTGCACATTAGACTCATGGGGGAAGATTTGGAAATCCCAGTGCCTGCTCAAACTACACACCAATTAGATCAGAATGTCTGAGGGTGAGATCCCCAGGTGATTCCAACACAGAGCCAAGTTTCGAAGCAGTTCTACTCTGTACATGTGGAGTCGCCAGGAGTCGGAATCGACTCAACCGCAACAATCAACAACAAAACATTCGGTAAACAAACGCAGTACCAGAGCAAATCTAGCCGGCCATCTCAGACACTTGCTATGCCCAGTGCTGATCTACCAAATTCACCTGTTTTCTTGCAGGGAGCCTAAGGCTCTCTTCCTTCATTTATCTCCTTACCATCTAAACAAACAAATCCTGCTGCTGTTGAGTGGATACCGACTCATGGCGACCCCACATGTAAAGAGTAGAACTGCCCCATAGGGTTTCCGAGGAGTGGCTGGTGGATTCGAACTCCCGACCTTTTGGTTAGCAGCCGAGCTCTTGACCACTTAAACGGTTCCTTTACAACATTAATGTGATGGTTTGTAGTGTCTGCTGGCGCTCTCTAGCTGGATCATTTCCTTGCGTCGTTTACAGTATCTGGTGATAGCTCATCTTCAGCAGAGGCTGTTTTAGGTGAGAGTCCCAAGGACCCTGCACTCAGGCTATACTGCCAGAGCAGCTTTGTGTTTGTTTCTAACAGGCTTTCCAGGGACTTCCGGGATCCATTTTTACTTTAATTTTTCTTTTTTTTGGCTTGGAGATTCCCACACTACCCAGGGAGTAAAATTCATTCTTCACTGGGCCAGATACCTGGGGCTTAGACCATCTGTTATGGATTGACTTGTGTCACCCAAAAATGTGTGTTGTAAATCCTAACCCCTGTACACGTACATGTAATCCCAGCTGGGAACAGGGTTTTGCTATGTTAATGAGGGCGTTATCAGTGTAGGGTGTGTCTTCATCACTTTCGAGATATAAAAGGAGCAGGTTAAGCACAGAATCAAGCAAGCACCAGGGGAAGATACACAGCACATGAAGATCACCAAGGAATTGAGAAACAGAAGCTGAAAAGAGACAAGAACCTTCCCCCAAAGCTGGCAGAGAGCCTTCTCCTAGAACAGGTGCCCTGAATTCAGACTTCTAGCCTCCTATACTGAGATAAAGCCATCCACTTGTGGTATTTCTTTCACAGCAGCACTAAGAAACTAAGACACCATCCCAGAACCCAAGCTTCCTTTTCTCTTCCCTGGCCCTTTGACGGAGGTGGCAGTCCTGGCAGGGTCTCCACTTTATACAGTTCCAGCTCCCTGGAATCACTCCACATCTTTCTGTTTTATTTTATCCAGCACTTCTGTGTCTGTGTGTCCATGCGTTTTGTCTTATTTTCATGTGAAGGGCCCATTACCTCGGTCCACCCTGTGCCAGAATCAGAGGTTTATTTCGATCCTCCCCACATCTTAAGCAGACATTAATCGGGGACAGCACTGCCATTCCAATGGTTTTACCAATTAAGCAAACATAAAAGGCCATTCGGGAGGACTTACCGCTTCACCCTCCCAGTATTGTCCTGACTCAGTTCTTTCATTCTTTCTTCTACTTTGTTCAAAAGCTACAATTAAAAGGAAAAGACAAAAATCAATGGACTTACATAACAGGCTGAGTGGAAGAGCTAAATTACAGACCAGAAGATTGAGGTCATGTTGACAGAGCTGTGTGCGATACTGGCAGACACCCAAATACACCTGTGCCACCACCCCGCAAGGCCTGGCCCGATTCCACACTCCCACATCAACTTCCCTCTCCTTGGTGTTGACCTTCCATTAGTCTAAGCTAACAACAGAACTACGGGGAAGGGGAGGCTAAGGGATAATGCGGATATAAAATCCTGGTTTACATGCTACAACATGGATGAACCTTGAAGCCATTATGCTGAGTGAAATAAGTCAGAGACAAAGGGACAAATATTGTATGATTCCACTTATATAAGGTCCCTAGAACAGGCAAATCCCTACAGAAAGATAGATTAGCAATTGCCAGGGGCTGGGGGGAAGGGCTAAAAAGGAGTTAACTGCTCAATGGGTATACAGTTTCTGTTTCGGATGATAAAAACGCATGTGGAAATAGATAGTGGTGGTGGTTACATAACCTGGGGAATGTACTTAGTGCCACTGAACTGTACACACAAAACCGGTTACAATGGTAAACTTTGTTATGTATATTTTACCACAATTAAAAAAAAATTATCACATTAAAAAAAGAATTCTGGTTAAAGGTTTTATATTCCCTCCAGTGGAAAGTAAAATCATTACTCTGTACTCGGGTAATGAAGGGAAAGATTATAGCCAGGCTCCTAAAAACAACCGAGGAACAACTCTCTCTCTTCTAAAACCACTCATCTGGAGGGAGAAAAGGTTAAAATGTGTTAACTGGGAAGTCAGCAATTAAGGGAAAGAATTTTAACAACATCATTAAAGTAAGCAGATTTTAAAATCCTTAAATTACTAAGTAAAAGTAAAAAACCAACACTGTCGATTTCTTTGTTGCCTTGCACATCATTGTCGTAACTCTGAAGGTCCAGCAACACCAGTCCGTGGGGGTAAATTCTCAAATTGGCAAAGCTATAAAGGAAAGCATATTTTTAAAATTAAGAACTGTATCATGGGATTCAAAAAAGAAAAAAGAAAAGGCGCCACCCCAATTAAGAGAAAAAAACCACTGCACTCTGTTTGCCCTAAATTACATCGTTAACCCTTTTGCTTTCTTACTAGGGCCTCTTCTTAGGGAAAAAAATGCTACCAGTCACTTATGGAAGATTCAGAGGGAGTCATCAAATGCTGAAGTTTTCAAAACAGATGCTTGGGCCCAGAAAGTGATTCAGTAGCAGGTTCGGAGAATCTGATTGTTACAAAGGCGATTCTGCCAGGTTTAGTAAGTGCTGCCTTAAAAGAAAGCAGAGGGAGGAGGAAAGAGCAAACTGGTTCGCCCAATTAATTTTCAAAATGGAGTCGTGGCAGAGTAAAATCCATTTAGTGCCCCCAAATAACCATGGCCATCAAGTTGATTCCGACTCATAGCGACCCTACAGGACAGAGCAGAACTGCCCCATAGAGTTTCCTAAGCTGTAATCTTTACGGAAGCAGACTGCCACATTTTCTCCCATGGAGCGGCTAGTGGGTTTGAACTGCCAACTTTTCGGTTAGCAGCCGAGCACTTTAACCACTGCGGCCACCAGGTCTCCTCCCATTTAGTGTAGGAGTCTGCAAACTCCAGCCCTACAGCTTGTCGGCTGAATTCAGCTCACAGCGGGCTTTGGTAAAGCCTGCACACTAAGAATGGCTCTTAGACTTGTAAGGGTTGTTTACAAAAGAAAAAGAAGGAGAAGAATATGTAACAGAGACCTTATGTAGCTCCTCACAGAAAGCTTTCTGACCCCTAATTTAGTGGATCTGACCAGCTCTTTTCTGTATGAAATAGAATATATTAGAGTGTATGACATGCAATAAGAATTCATAATTGCCTGATGAAACTTTTGTTTCAATTATATACATGTATTTGCATTGCATATATGCAGATGTGTATGCACAGGGTTATAAAATTACTTCTTACTATAAGTTGTAGTTAAAGAAAGAATTCTGTCCAGAGAATACAAGCAATGTGCTTCGGTTAAAAAATAACTGGTTAATAATTTTTACCTTCAGTTCACCCTTCAGCCAAAGATTAGACAGGCCCATAAAACAAAATGAGACTAAAAGGGCACACCAGCCCAGGGGCAAGGACTAGAAGGCAGGAAGGGACAGGAAAGCTGGTTAACAGGGAACCCAAGGTCAAGAAGGGACAGTGTTGACATGTCGTGGGGTTGTTAACCAATGTTATAAAACATTATGTGTACCAACTGTTTAATGAGAAACTAGTTTGTTCTGTAAACCTTCATCTAAAGTACAATAATGAAAAAGAACTTGACATTAAAAAAATTAAAAAAATAATAGTAATTTTTACCTTCAACCTTACCAAAAAATAAACAAATCCGTTGCCATCAAGTCAATTCCGACTCATGGCAACCCCATGTGTTGCAGAGTAGAACTGCTCCATAGGGTTCTCTTGGGTATAATCTTTATGGAAGCTAATCGCCAGGCCTTTCTTCCACAGTGCCACTGGGTGGGTTCAAATCACAACCTTTTGGGTTAGTAGTCGAGTGCAAACTGTTTGTGCCACCCAGGGACCTCCTTCAACCCTTAAATGGCCTAAAAATCAAGTTCAGGCCCTACAAATCAAATTCAGACACCACAAACTCATCTACACCTGAATGAGCTGATAATCTTTCCTTCCCCCTCCACCACTACCAGTGGCACAAAAAGGGATCCAGAAATGCCACCCCTAAACAGGTGGTCTAGCAAAGGGCCTTCCCACAAGAGAATTACACCACAGACAATGCTGGAAGGAAGGGTCAAGTACTGACCTCAAGGATGAGAGCACTTAGGGATAAAAACAGAGAGACAAAAACAAAAAGTTGCTAAGGGGAAAGAAAAGGGGAACCCAAAAAAAGGTGGACAAGGACTAGGGCCAGGCTACTCAGCATCACAAGAAGATCATTAACCTAGGAGCCAGGTCATAAAAGGGGTATGCAGTGGCTGGCCTTTCCCCTAAACCCACACATGGCTAGGAGAAGTGGGGTTCCAGGAGAGGCACCCTTGGCATGCGTCCTAGTTAAGTGAGAAAGGAGGAAGACCAATGTTGAAAATTGTTTTTTAGCTAAGCATTTTCATTTATATATTTTCTGCTTTCAAAAGTAATTTCCAAACATCAGTCAAATGCTACCTCCTTCTGGAAGGGAAGAATTCTAAGTCCTCTGTATGACTGGAATTGGTGTCTATGGTAGAAACTTCAAGAACTGTGGCGGAGAGGCAGGCAGGGGCCCAGCTGCAAAAGCCTTTAGGAAATGGTGAGAGATTTAAGGCTTTGCCTGAGGGTGGAAGAGGAGCCTAACCAGGTGGTAGAGTGACAAGTTCTGATTTGCTGTGGAGAAAAACTGGCCCTGAGTGTGGCCAATGAGAGAACAGTGCCAGGGAGGGTGGAGAAGAAGATGGAGGAGGAGGAGGGAGGGAACAGAAGGTATAGTGGTGGTGGTATTGAGTTTGGGTCACCCTTAAGGAAGAAATAATTTTTAAATACATTTGAACCAAACACCCTTAAGGAAGAAGTAATTTTTAGAGACACTGGAACTAAACACATATATGAAGGTTTGCTACATAGTTAGCAATACAAGTCCAGACTTGCAGAGAGAGGGGTTGGGCTGTCTCTGACAGGCAGCAGGATAGAGAACAAGAATTAATGCCATAGGGTGGGCCATGGTAGACTTACAAAGAGAATAAGAGATGTGGGGGTAGGGAGATGTTCACAAAGTAAATGTTTGCCTCACCTCCCAGCATTGTTTTCTGTGCTCTGTCAGACCGTGGGGGGGTTATTTTTTCTTTTAATAGGAACACAAAGGAGGGAGAGGAGGCCTAATGGAATTCTAGTACTTTGTACCCATTTGGGGAACGAAAACCAACAAAAATACCCAACAGTTCACATTTTAAAATTAATAGTGCAAATTGCTGAGACCTTAATTAATAATTTTGCATACTAAACTAGTCAAGGTAGATTAGAAAGCAAGATGTAAGAATATACAAAAAGCTCAATGCACTGCTGTCTTCTGTTATTGGTCATTTTCTAATTTAGGCTTTCCTCCCCACTCAGAACACATTTACTTTCAACTGCATATTGACTACATAAAGTCTAGTATTTTAACATCTTAAAAAAAAATCACTTGAGCTCTTGGATCAGCTCAGCTTCCTGTCTAACTACACGTTGACTGTATCAGCCCGCATTTTACTACAGTCTGCATTCATTGATAATCACCTACGACATTGCTACTCAAAGTGTGGTCCGTACATTAGCAGCATCAGTCTCACCTGGGAGCTCATTGGAAAGGCAGTCTGGGGCAGACCGACTGCATCAGAAACTCTTGGGATGGGGCCTAGGAATCTGTGTCTTAACCAACTTCCCATCATTGCCTGCCAGTTCACACTACTTACCCAGGGGTTCTTAGTCCTGGCCACACAACAGAATCATCTAGGAGGCTTTGGAGAAATACTGATGCCCAGGCCCAATGGCATCATAATCTCGGGGATGGTGCCTAGGCATGAGTACTTCATGAAACCTCTCCCAGGAGCTTCTAATGTGCAGCTAGGGTTGAGAAGCACTGAATTCTAGCCCTCTTCTAAAAGATGTCAAAAGAAAAATAAAACAAAAAAACCTGGACTTCTACCTTCCCCCTCTTTGTCCCTCCTCTGTTCTTCCTTAAGCTCCCAGATCTGGCTCAAGGCCAACTCACCTGCCATTTTTGTTGGTGTAGGTTGCTAAGTAGCCATGGTCCTGCCAGGTGTGCACCGACTCCGTCATTCCCTGCTCCTGGAAAATGGACTGGAGGCCTTTTAGAATGGTCTCGCCATCAGCTGGAGAACAGAGGGAAGAAGGCAAAATGGTCAGAACAAGACCCATTCCAGAGGAAAGCTGATGACGCACAGGTTGACGACTGAACTTCTTAAGAGACTCTGAACGAACAGTCACCAGGATCACTTAGCCTCTTTGTCATGGGCTATCCGCACTCTCAATCCTGCAAGGAAAGGCTCTGCAGATCATCAGGTTACACAAGAAGAACATGAGAACCCACCAGAAACAGCTGTGCCAAAGATACAGAAAGACAGAGATTAGCCGAGCTGGAGGAAGCACAACATAAAATATTCAGTGAACTAGAAATCAAAGAAATGCCAACAAATGCAAGCCCAATGAGAGTCCACTTTAAGTAAAATTAATGAGGCCTGGCAAGGGGATGTCCATACACTGTTGATGGGTATTATAAATGACTTCAAAACTTTTGATTTTATTTTCCAGGTGTTTGACAGTAAGGATGCATGGATTTTATAATCAGAAAAAGAAAAAACCTAAATGGTGACACTTAGGAACATATTTTTAAACGTTAGAAGCTGAACAACAATTCCATATGGAACATCTTGCTTGGCATTGTGACCTCCTCCCCCCACGCCCCATGGTCTAGAAGCCAATCCTCCTCTTTCCCACCCCACCCCTCTCCAAAGTGGAGCTCAGTGTTCCCAGGTCAGACTAAGGTGAAGGTTCTAGAAACTGCAATTTATTCTTCTCCAGGTATATCTGCAAAGCAGCTCCTCCCTGATAAGGGTAAGATAAAGAAGCAAGATGTGATCAAAGGATGAACCATGGCCTCCTACCTGGAGACCAGAAGAACTAGATGCTGTCTGGCTACCCCTACCATTCCAATCGGAGCCACAATAGATGGACCCTGATAGAATAAGAGAAAAATGTGGAACAGAATCTCAAATTCCGGACACACTGCTAACTCAGAACTGAAGCCACTCTCCAATTCTACATTTCAGCCAATGATTGACAGGTCTATAAAATAAACAATAACACACATGGGAATGTACTTCTTAGTTCAATCAAGTATATGACATCAAATGGGCAATGCCTGCCCAAAAGCAAAGACGAGAAGGCAGGAAGGGACAGGAAAACTGGACGAACGGATACGGAGAACCCAGGGTGGAAAGGGAAAGGGGGAGAGTGCTGACACATTGTGGGGACTGCAACATCACAAAACAATTTGTGTATACAATTTTTGATGAAGAACTAATTTGCACTATAAACTTTCACCTAAAACACAATAAAAAAATTTTAAAAAAGGGAAACTATTACATGGAAGAAAAACAGACTTACTGGACCAGCTGAGACCTGGGAACTCCCTGAGACTAATGCCCTGAACTGAAACTAGCGGAGGTCACCTTTTAGCTAAATAACAGATTGGCTCACAAACTAAAGATTATTACCTGTGAGTACTGTGCTCCTTTAAAAATATCTATATGAGACCAAGTGGTCAACAATTACTTTAAAACAAAGATGAGAATATAAGGGAGCAGGGAAACTGGATTAACAGAAATGGAACAATCACAACAGAAATACTGAGAATATTGACACATTGTGAAGGAAGCAACCAATGTCACTGAACAACTTGTATAGAAATTGTTGAATGGGAACCTAAAGTGCTGTGCCAATCTTCACCGAAAACACAATAAAATATTATTAGGGGGGAAAAAAAAAGATGTGGCCAAAGGAATCACTCTGATCACTCTGTATTGTCCCACCATCCCTCCTCAGGCTGGCTCCACATGAAGGAAAAGCAACACAGCCTGCAAGGCATCAAGATGAAGCATGCTTGAGATCTACGCACCCCTTTTCTCTGACCCAAACCACGACAAAAGACACAAAAAGATTCACAGCTGACTACAGTGCAGCTGCACAAGAAAATTACACAAGAATTCCTTCCAGAAACTAACTCATGCCAAAACTTCAACTGAGAGTTAAGCGTTTTTCACTATACATAGAGTCTCTCTCCAGTGACTTTTGGAACATTTCCGAAACTTCTAGCGTACAGTAAGAATGAAGGCTACTATCATGGATTGAATTGTGTCCCCCAAAAATATCTGTCAACTTGGTTAAGTCATGATTCCCAGTATTGTACAACTGTTAACCTTTTGTCATCTGATGTGAAAGCAGATCACTAGGCCTTTCTTCTGAGGTACCTCTGGGTGGACTGGAATTTCCAACCTTTCAGTTAGCAGCCAAGTGCTTTAACCATTTGTACCACCAAGGGACTCCGACCTATCCTCCAAAGCCCATATTAAATGCTACCACCCGTAAATGCAGTCCCTGAATACCCTTCTCTTCAAATGATGGCCTCGCTTCCCAGTTCCTGCTCTGTGAATCTATAATGTAGGCAAGTCTCTAGTGCCCTCATGACACTATGTTCATTCATTCAAAACAATTTATTGAGGACTTTTGTGCCAGCCGTTGTGTGGGGCTAGAGCTATGACCAACAGACATGGTGCTTGACCTCACAGAACGTACAACATGGTTGGGGGAGGCAGGTATCTTAGTTATCTAGTACCGCTATAACAGAAATACCACAAGTAGATGACTTTAACAAACAAATTTATTCTCTCATAGTCTAGGAGGCTAGAAGTCCGAAATCAGGGTGCCAGCTCCCGGGGAAGGCTTTCTCTCTCTGTCAGTTCTGGCGGAAGGTCCTTGTCATCAATCTTCCCCTGGTCTAGGAGCTTCTCAGTGCAGGGACCCCAGGTCCAAAGGACATGCTCTGCTCCCAATACTTCTTTCTTGGTGGCAGGAGGTCCCTCTCCCTCTGCTTGCTTCTCTCTCCTTTTATCTCTTGTAAGATAAAAGAAGATGCAGGCCACACCCCAGGGAAACTCCCTTTTCATAGGATCAGGGATGTGACCTGAGTAAGGGTGTTTCATCCCACCCTAATCCTCTTTAACATAACCTAATCTTGCCTCATTAACCACAGACAAAGATTAGGATTGACAACACATAGAAAAATTACATCCAATCACAATATGGTGGGCAACCATACAATACTGGGAATCATGGCCTAGCCAAGTTGACACACATTTTGGGGGGCACAATTCAATCTATAACAGCAGGCATCGGGGCTCGCCCTACATGGACATTGTTCTGGCTCCGGGTTGGTCCCTGAACGCTGTATTCTGATGGAAACATCTCAGTTGGGCAGCTCATGATGGGAAATTCAGGCATCAGGAGACAGGAGAATCTGCCTCATGCCCCTCAAATTATCCCCCACAGACACCTATTTCACCCACACGGATCACTGAATGCTTTTTCCTGCTTCACGAAGGGCTGGTCTTGTGCTTTTAGCTGTTATATGAAACCTGAACATACTCTCAGGACCCAGTAAATGCATCATGTCACGAACTTGACAGTGATTATAGGATTAATGAAACCCAGCACTGGTTGAATCTGCCGACTCTAATTTTCAAATGTGTTGTTAAAATACTTCGCAAACACTCATCATTTTTAGAGGCAGCATTCATCTTCACATTTGACTTATTTATAGATGACTCATAGCCTAATACTGCTACTCACCAAGCTTGGCCAAATCCAATTGGCTTCCCACCGAACATCCCCATAAGCAGTATATGCAATATTCAAACGTTTTCTGAGTTGACTATCCATGTGAAAGTTCTATCTTCACTGCTTATTGGGGATATGCACATGTATTTTAGCCACACTTGAATGTTTATGGATTAACATATAAAGTCTTTGCGTGTCTGGGCTATAGTTTTCTTAAATTTCTTAGCCTTGTTAAAGTGACATTTAGAATTCTAAGTGAAAAGTATATGTAATAGCTATTCCTCCTTCTATTAAAAATTTTTTTCTAAATAAGAGAATCATAATATTACTTTAAAAGTTATCCTTGATTAGTCTCATGGATTGAATTGTGTCTCCCCAAAATATCTGTCAACTTAGCTGGGTCATGATTCCCAGTACTGTATGACTGTGTACCATTTTGTAATCTGATGTGATTTCCTTATGTGTTGTAAACTCTTTATCACTGTGATGTAATAAAATGGATTACTGGCAGTTATACTGATGAGGTCTACAAGATTAGATAGTGTCTGAAGCCAATCTCTTTTGAGATAAAAAAGAGAGAAGCAAGCAGAGAGACATGGGAACCTCGTACCACCAAGAAAGCAGTGCTGGGAACAGAGCGCGACCTTTGGACCTGAGCTTCCTGAGCAGAGAAGCTCAGAGACCAAGGGACGACTGATGACACGGACCTTCCTCCAGAGTTGACAGAGAAAGCCTTCCTCTGGAGCTGATGCCCTGAATTTGGACTTGTAGCCTACTAGACTGTGAGAGAATAAACTTCTCTTTGTTAAAGGCATCCACTTGTGGTATTTCTGTTACAGCAGCATTAGATGACTAAGACAGCTACAAACAGGGTTCAGAGGTCAAACTGGAAGCAGACTTGGCTTGGTCTGGCATGTACGGATTTTTTTTTTCAGTATGAATGAGTTGCCATTTCAAAATCAGAAGATCTCACCCTGCCCCACCAAAATTCACATTTTCAGCTTCACTTAACAAACACTAGCTAATGGAGTAACCAAAATGGCAGTGAGCTAAGTGAAAGAAGCCAAACACAAAAGGCTACATATTGTATGACTCCATTCATATGAAATGTCCAGAAATGGCAAATTCACAGGGAAAGTAGATTACTGTATTTTTACCCAAATGCATTTTTTTTTGCCAACCGTACAACCTCCCCACTCGTTATTTTCCTAAGCGTTATATATATGTGTGCACTTTATTTACAAGAGTACATTATTTGCGAAAAAATACAGTACTGGTTGCCAGGGGTTAGAGGGAAAGGGAGGAATAGGGGATTGATTAATAACGGGTATGGGATTTCTTTTTGGAACTAGATAGTGGTGATGGTTGTACAACACTGTACTAAACACGTCCTAAATGCATTGAACTGTACTCTTTCAAACGGTTAAGATGGTGAATTTTATGCTATATAAATTTTATCACAATAAAAAATGTTTTA